TTCTCAACTGCAATCTTATACTGTATCTACCACTTAGGACTAGCTCATCTGGCATTTTGAATTTATGACCATAGTAACAAAACTGTTTAATTCATGTTATAACCATGTTAAAGACCCTTTTAAGACTTTAGTGAGAGAGTGTCTCCCTCCTGGGCTCTAGGTCCTAGCATCCCCTACCTAAATTTTCTCCCCAGTCTTCACTAAGAATAAAATTCAAGAGGGAAACAAAGAAAATCCAATGCTGAGACCTCGTACCACTACCTTGTGTGGGTGCTGGGCAGGCCCACAGGCTCCTGAGTGAGGAGCTGATGCACAGCCATCCAAGTGGTGCTTTGGGTTTGGGCTGCAAGCCTACAATAAGGCTACAGAGGTGCCATACGGGACTTGAGACTGGATATTTTACAATGTCAAGGCCCCATCCAGGGGGATGAGGGATACTGTTGGCAAAGTCAAATCCAGAGAGAGAAAAGGAAGTAGACACATGGGGGAACACAAGTACCTGGCTGTTGGTAGGAAAAGTGGGAGGACGGACCCCCAAGTGGGGAGGAAATTACTAAATATACTTTGAAGGACCCTAAGGAGGGAGTCTCCCAGGTAATGTGCACCAAATAAGCCTCATTGGCCTGAGTTTGGGGGCACATCCTGGGACCCCAGGCCAAGTGACAGAACACTGGAGCATTGAATCCTGGGTCTTTAAGGCACACAACATGCTTCAAAGAATGCACCAGAGACATCTAATTCAATTCGGAAACTTCATTAGGGGAACTGGACTCTACCTTAAACACACTTGTAACGTGAGGACTGAACATCCATGGTGTCTGAAGAAGCAGAAGACAGCTATACCAAGTAGTGGGCAGGCAATTAGTAGGCAGGCAATCCCTGACTTACTACATCAATGTCCAGTATGCTGTATTAAGATATACAGTGAACCCTCGTTTATCACGGTTAATCGGTTCTAGACCCTACCGTGATAAATGAAATTCCGCGAAGTAGGATTCCTTATTTGTAAATCAAATATTTTCATAGTTAGAGCATAGAGGACATGAAAAAACACCCTTTAGTCACCATTACACTCATATTACCCAATTTATTAAACGAAAAAGGGAAAATACAGTAAAACATTTTGGACGTTACAATTATCATTTATTATTTATTATATTATTTATGGCATCAAGCGTGTACAGTATGAGCCAATCAGTGGCAGTAATGACAGAGCATGCGCTGTTAGCAAAAACCGCGATAGAGTGAAGCTGCGGAAGTCGAAGCACGAAGTGGCGAGGGTTCACTGTATATTATTCCTTTAAAAACTTTTTTTAAGATATACATTATTCCAGCAAGCTGGTGACTGATATTCTCAGTGAATATGATAAATTTTCCCTGACAACCAACTCCCAGTGTTTTTGTAAAGTGTCCAGCCACAAAAGGATTGATTCTGTACGAGTAAATAATTCAGATATTGCAATATATGGAGTTAGCTTACATTGGCCCATTATCAACAGGGCTTTAAAAAATTAGTACTAGGGGCTAATCAATGACAAGATTAATGGTAGATCTTTATGACCCAGGGA